CTCAGAACTGACAAAAAGTTAATAAATCATTGTTTTTCATTTAAAGGGGGAAATGTTAATTTTATTTGCATTAACATTTAATAAACTTTTCTTTCGAAGAAAAATATATTTAAAATGCCACGGCGGATATTTAAAAACATATTTTTAATATTAAAAATATTTTTTTTAAATCCCCGCAAGGCGTGGATTTTTTAAGGTCCAACTATAGAAGGCGTCTATTTTTTAAAGAATATTTTTTCAGAGGTCTAACCATACAAGGCGTGGATTTTTTTAAGAATATTTTTTCCCAGGTCCAACCATAGAAGGCGTGGATTTTTTAAAGAATATTTTTTCGGAGGTCCAACCATACAAGGCGTGGATTTTTTAAAGAATATTTTTTCAGAGGTCCAACCATACAAGGCGTGGATTTTTTAAAGAATATTTTTTCAGAGGTCCAACCATACAAGGCGTGGATTTTTTGAAGAATATTTTTTCAGAGGTCCAACCATAGAAGGCGTGGATTTTTTAAAGAATATTTTTTCAGAGGTCCAAAAAATATTTTTTTTCTGGGATCCACAAAAGGCTTGAATTGAAAAAAAATATATATTTTTCTAGGATCCACACAGGGCGTGGATTGAAAAAATATATTTTCCACAATTAAAATTTTTTATTTATTTATTTTTTAATTTAATTTTTTATATTTCATATCACATACTTTTCGAACTAGTAAACTTCGTCATATAATGAAAATCTTTTAAAGAGCATTTTTGAAATAATTCAATTTTTCATGCGAAGAATTTTTTAACTATTTTTCTCCACGAGTTTTAAGTAATTTAAGTTTTCCTGGCTCTTTCTCCGACCTGTAAAGGGCCAAATGAGGTTGGCGAAGAACGTGTAACGCAATGAAATTTAATATAATTTTTCAAACTTTTGCCCTGTGAAGTCAAAAAGTATGTATGTGGGTGTCGTCGAATGTGTGCTTGTGTGTGTGTGAATGCAGATGATGTTATTTTTCTTCATCCATTTACCACGAACGCTTCATATAATCTTAATCTGAGGCTTGAAAATACCTAGGATATCTATGAAGGGTGGAGGAGGTGAAATTTACTTGGCAGCTTCATATTCACTTAGCTGTGTTGTGTTGCGAAAAAGTTGTGAAAGTATGTGTGGGTGTATGAGTGTAGGCATGTATGTATGTGGCCATTAAGGCCATAACATGGCAAACTACTTAAAAACAGTACTTAACACTTTTCAAAAACGGTAATGAGCAAAAAAAATGATGATGAAGAAGATGAGGAAATTATTATTCAACTTAACCTTAAAAACAAAACAACAAAAATTGGGCCAACTACGGAAACCCTAAGAGGTCGTTGTGTTTCAAGAATGTGTGTGAGTGTTTGTTTTGCTAACTTTCACCAGAATTTCCCTCAGAATTTGAATATCAGCATTACAAAGTTCTTTTTCCGAAACCCTCCACCTCCGGGACCTCTTCCTGATTTCCTTTATTTCAAACTCTTCAAGATTGTTGTTCTTTTTGTTGACTTCACTTCGCCGAAAAAAGGAATTTTAAATCGTAAATTTTCTGGTCTCTTGAAAACTTTTTATTTTGACGCAAATTATGTGTTTGTGTGTGGCACATGTCATGCACAAAGGTGGCAGGCAGCGGCGCAAAGGGCAAACCAGCAATCCACATCTCATCATCACCCGAACCTGACGTTTGTTGCTCAACAAACAATTATTAAAATTCCCAAAAACGAAATATTCAATATGTGTTCCATACTCTGTGAACATTTGGCGTTGGCATCCATCACGTCGTCTCGACTCATCCTCCCATGTCATCCTTCGTCTCTTCATTTTCATCATCATCATCAGGCTGACTGAACACCATCATTGTCAGCAATAATTGTAATAATGGAGATGCTGGTATTTCCATACTGATACCCTCTCACTGAGCTCTGGTAGATGATGGTGAATGTGTTTTTCCCTAAGTGTGTGATCTGCCAGCGGTATTTCGTTATTGTTTTTTTTTTTTATTTTGGAAATATTTTATTAAACCAAAGTACGAACAAATAATTTTATTATTTTGTCAATTTTGATTGTGGTGGCATCATCGTAATTCGTTAATTTTTTTCAAAATCCGACTAATGAAATTTTTTTAATGGAGACTTTGTGCTTCCCATCTAAATCAAAAAATTAGAAGGCAATGACAGAGGTTGTGTAAAATATAAATTCGGCAGATAAGTATTTTTTAAGCAAATTTAATAATAAATTTCCACAAGGTGTCAGGGTCCACCTGAGGCGTGGATTTTTAATGAATATTTTTTCAAGCCCCACAATGTGCGTGAATTTTTAAAGAATATTTTTTCAGGCATCCGACAGGGCGTGGATTTTAAATAAGAATGTTTTCCATCTGAGCCGTGGATTTTTTAAAGAATATTTTTAAGGGTCCATATGAGGCGTGGGAGTTTTAAAGAATATTTCTTCAAGGGTCCATATGAAAGAAAGAAACATGTTTGAAGAGTCCACCTGAGTAGTGGATTTTTTAAAGAATATTTTTCAAGGTCCACCAAGGGTCTAACTGAGGCGTGAATTTTTTAAAGAAAAAATTTTTAAGGGTCCACCTGAGGAGTGGATTTTTTAAAGAATATTTTTTAAGGGTCCACTTGAGGAGTGGATTTTTTAATGATTTTTTTAAGGCCCACAATAGGCGTGGATGTTTTAACAAACATTTTTTTAGGGTCCTCTGAGGAGTGGATTTTGTTAAGAATATTTTTGAAGGTTAACCTTAGGAGTGGATCTTTTAAAGAATATTTTTTCAGGACCAATAATAGGAGTGGCTTTTTAAAGAATATTTTTTAAGGGTCCAACTGAGGCGTGGATTTTTTAAAGAATATATTTTTTAAGGCCCATTATAGGCGTGGATTTTTTAAAGAATATTTTTTTAAGGCCCATTATAGGCGTGGATTTTTTAAAGAATATTTTTTAAGGGTCCACCTGAGGAGTAAATTTTTTAAAGAATATTTTTTGTCAAGGTCACACTATGGCGTGGATATTTTAAAGAATATTTTTTCAAGGCCCACAATAGGCGTGGATTTTTTAAAGAATATTTTTTTAAGAAAAAGGGATTAAAGAATATTTTTCTTTAACCAAGCAAAACAAGGCGTGGATTTTTTAAAGAATATTTTTTTCAAGGCCCACAATAGGCGTGGATTTTTTTAAGAAAAAGGGATTAAAGAATATTTTTAATCTTGAGCCTATAGAGTTTGTCTTGAAGATTTTTCGCTTATAAAAACGACGTTAAATCCATAGAAGTCTTCTTTCATAATCGACACGTAGAATGTCCTCCTTCAAAAGATGACCTACAAGATGTTGGTTATCTGCAGAAAACCTATGGAGAAGATAGTCTTAGACGTTATAGTATACCCATTTCAAACTTACAGAAGACCTGTTGAAGGCATCCTGTAAATTCCACTATGCATTTATAAGGAGTAGAAGGCCTCCTATCCAGAAAGGTCCTGTAGAGTATATTCCACCACAAAAGACCTACCAAAGATCTTTTATCCACAGAATTTCTGTAGATTGTCATATACATAATATCGACAGGAGGGTCCTTTATCTGTTAAATATGGGTAGAAGGTATAGAAGGTATTTTATGCATAGAACACCTATAAAAGATTGTTTTTTGGCGTAGAAAACATGTAGACGTTCTCTGACCTACTGAGCACCTATTTATATGCTCGTTGAACTGTGGGTATTCCATGAAAAAAAAATTGTGGAAGGTCTTCTATAGATATAACACTTTTACAGAATTTCTTTAACCATTGAAGATCATTAGAAAGTCGTCTAAGGGTATTTCAGAATATCAGCTCATCTATTAAAAACACCTGGTCTTCTATGAAGACCTCCTCTTTAGCTCCTCTATATACGACTCACTTCAACTCGCTGATTGAAGTGTCCATTCAGTTCGTCTAGGAAATTCTGCCATGCAGCTTGTCTATAAATCTCCCTTCTGTTTCCCTATGAAAGCCTGCTTCAGCTTGTCTATGAAAGACTCTCTGCCTCAGCTCTTATTTGAAAGACTATCCGCTTTAGCTGGTCTATGAACGTCACACTTATTCTATAAAAGACTCCTTGCTTCAGCTCGTCTATGAAAAACTCCGTTCTTCAATCCTTCTAAGGAAGACTGCCTGCTTCAGATCGTTTGTGAAGGATTCCTGCTTGAGCTTGTCTATGAAAGACTCCCTTCAGTATGTTCATAAAGACTCCCCTCAGCTCATCTTTAGAGACTCGCTCAGCCCATCTACCGATACTCCTCTCAGCTCCTATGTAGTGAATCATCTCACCCCTTCTGTAGAGGCTCCCCTCAACTCGTCCATAGAGAAACACTTTAGCTTGACTATAAATGCTCCCTGTTTGAGCTCGCCTTTAAATTTCTTCCTTCCTCTTCCTTCCCCCCCTTATTTAGGTATAACAAATATATAAATAATTTAAATTATTGATTATTAACTTGTCATTGTTTTTTTCATTTCAGGTAAATTTTGAATACATTTTCATGTAAGTTAAACGAAACTACTCCATGCCATATTTGAAGCATTTGTGAAAAAATCCCCACTTTCCCCAATGTATATTTCCAACATTACAATCTGGCAACATTGCCGATACGAATTTATTTAATAGTCATTGACATTGTTGTTCTTACTGATAACAAAAATAAATACTCAATGCATTGAAGTGTAGCGTTTATTGAATTATTAAAAAAGTGACGTGTAGCTCACAACACATGTTTCTTGCTCCCACTCTAAGCATACCGCTCCAAATACCCCTCTCCCCAACTTATCTGACATGACAAACATGTTATCAGACAGTTAGCCAGCCATCAAATCAGCCGGCTGCGATGATAGGCATGGCAAATAAACACAAATTTGGAAAACAATTGTCAAACGATTAGTTGCGATTAAATCGCCAAAGCCAAAAGACATCTGCCTCGCGATCGAACTGTAGAAGAAGAATACGAATTTAACATGGAACGTTGGCAAAATCGTGTAGCTGTTGTAACCGGCGCCAGTTCGGGTATTGGTGCTGCCTGTGCCAAAATTATTTTGGCTGCTGGTGTCAAAGTTGTTGGTTTGGCCCGCCGTGCCGAACGTATGGAAGAGTTGAAAAAATCCCTTCCCGTCGAACAGCAGCAACGTTTCTTCTACAAGAAATGTGATGTCTCACAGGAGGAAGATGTCAAATCGGCTTTCCAATGGATCGATGAGCAGTTGGGTGGTACTGATATTTTGGTCAACAATGCCGGTACCATTCGTGAGGGTAACCTGGTCGATATGCCCATGAAGGATATCAAGGATGTGGTCAACACGAATTTCATGGGTGCCATTTATTGTACCCAAGGCGCCTTCCGCAGCATGAAGGCACGCAATGTGGCTGGCCACTTGATTTTCATCAACAGTACTGCCGGTTTGGCAGGTTATAATCCTGGACCAGATTATCCCAGCTTGAATGTGTACACTCCCACAAAATTCGCTTTGAATGCCATCAATGAGATATGCCGTCAGGAGTTGATTACCCTGAAAACGAAAGTTAAGACCACAGTGAGTTAGAGAATCTTTTTTTTTGGATTGGAAATTTTAAAATTAACGAAAATTGAAAATTTCCTTTAGAACATCAGCCCCGGTTGGGTATCCACCGAAATTGTCCCCGACGAAACCAAGGAAATGTTGGGAGATGTTATTCTCCAGGCTGATGATGTTGCCCGTGCCGTTATCTATGCCTTGTCCAGTGGACCCCATTGCCAAGTTCAAGAGATTACTTTGAGAGCGGTTGGTGAATGGTATTAAAGAAAGTGTGTGTGTATGTGTGCTTTGACCGAAAAAAACAAAATTTTGAATTGATAAAAATAACAGAGTAATAAAAAACAATCTCAAAACAAAAACAACAACATAAAAAAGTGATTTGTTTGAAATAGAAATATTGTTTATTACAAAATAATGACAACGCTCAATTTGATGTTCTGTTACAACTCTGAAGGGGGGTTTGTTTGTAAATAGAATCTGTTATCGAACATTTTTTTCCACAGAGATTCGAACATCCTTCAATAAGATTTATTCTCATCGATCATTAGCGATTAAATTTCCTTTAAGGAAAGTTCTTTTCGAATATTTTTTATAACAAAAATTGTTATCGACTTTTTCCCGATAGGAAAAATGTGGACTTGTGGAGGACCTTTTAACTATAGATAGTCTCCAGTCCATTGAAAACCTACCGATTTATTTTATTTATTTATTTTTCTCTGTAGAAATCTTCTATCCACAGACTTCCTGAATATCAGATCATCGAAAAACCATGTGTTTCCGTTCTTCAATGAATACCCCCATAATCATCTATGGAGACTCATTTCCTGGGCTAAAACACTCTCTTCGTCTATAAAGATTCGATTCAGCTCCACTACAGAGATCCACTTCAGCTTCAGCTCTATGAAACTCTCCCTTCAGTTCTTCAATAAAGACTTGCTCGTCTATACAGACTACTTCAGGCTCGTTCGATCACCATAAAATTGTCTATAGCGACTGCACACAGATCGTCTATAGAGAATCCCACCAGATCGTCTGTGAAATACTCCCTCCAGTTCTTCATCTTGCCTATAATTAAAAAAATTAACATAAGAAAAATTATTGCCGATAGTATTTGTCAATACTAAAATTAATTATCGATGACAATTAAAAAAAAAGTATCGATATATTTTTCCAAATTTTTATCGGTTTATATTTCGCCATATATTAAAGATGAGTACTTGTTATCGATTTAAGTTTCTTTGGTTGAAGATGTCTGCCTTTTAATTTTCATTATTGGTTAAATATCGAACAACTCTTCTATAGCACAGCATCAAATATACTTTTTTATATGTAACGGCAACAATTACTCTTTCCAATTTCCATTACCTCCATCTGCTCTCATTGATATGTGTATTTTCTCAAACCTATTGTAGATAGTCGCGAGTATTCTGAATGCCATATTAATTTCCATCAATCAACAAATAATAATGCGGATTTTTAATTGATTTGTGTGCATTTTTCCACATACCTACACGTTTGTATTTGTATGTGTGCGTGTGTGTATGCGACAAAGGATGAAGGATTTTTAAGGATGTATTGATTTCGTTGCGTTTGGGTTTTTTTTGTATTTTCATAATTAATACGCTGCACCAATCGTCCTTGTTTGAGCATCATGGACTATTTTTTCACCGAAGTTTCTCCTCAACATCATTCATTGTTGTTGTAGTAATCATTTCCTTGGCAATTTGCCACATACGTTTGTTTTTTTCTCACTTATTTACGTCGTGATTGCGAAGGATGGCAGAGTATGAAAATGTTATGAAAGTCCTTTTTTTCAACCATAATTAAAATGTCAGAATAGGTAAGGCATGCAGGCTTAGGTATAATTTACTTCCTGTAAAGGTATTGGAACAAGAGTTTGCTCTTTTTTATCGGATATATTTTTTATATTTTATATTTTTGTTTTTTTTATTATTTTTCACCTTTTGTATTATACGTCGCATATGTATATGACATTCCCATCACCGCTAATTATTAAAATACCACTGTCAAAATGTGTTTGCATAGAGAAATGAAATGTTGTCATCGTGGTTGTGGTGGCTCTTTACGTGGTCACCGTTGTTGTGGCATGTCCGGATGTTCGGCTATCGAGCTGCTGGTCAAACCAATAAAATATATCTGCAACATGTCAGATGCGGGATAAATAACCAAATTATTGATATTAATTGTAATGTAATTTATTTACTTCGCTGTTTGTTGTTGTTGTTTGACATTTAAAAACAAAAGAAAAAATTAAAAAAAAAACAAGTATATAGGTATTGAGATATCGTTTCAGTTATTATTATTTTTTTTTTTTTTTGAGGATAAATAAAAACAAACAGATGTTTCGAAATTTTTTTCTAGTGGAAAAGTGTTTTTATGGAACACATTTGCTATAGAAAAGCTATCAATCAATAATCCTGGGATGTTTGGTATTGAAAATGGAATATATCGGTCCACGGTAATTTTGGGTTCTTGGAGGATATGAAAAATATTTGCAAAAAATGTCAATATAAGTCGATGGTTTAAAAATCTAGCCTATATAAATGCTAAATAATATTTTTAAGAAATCAAGGCCTTTGAAAATGGCTAAGCCATTGTTAAATGTTTAGAAAGTATTTTTGAAAAATTCACGCCTTTGTAAAAAGTTGAAGATTTTTTTTTTTTTTTTGAAAATTTATGCCATTAAAAAGTTTGAAAAAGTCGTGAACCTTTGTTAATGGCTGAAAAAGTATTTTTAAACCAGTAAGGAAAGTAGTAAAGTCGGACGGAGCTGACTATATGATACCCTTCACCACTTTAGGTATATTCAGTAGTTGGGATCCTAACAGACGTCGCATTTTTGAAAGAACATTAACATGAAATTAAACACGTCATTCTGCAACCTATACATACAAAATTTTGGTCAGATATAGAGTTGCTTCTTACAATGGAACAAAATTATGTAAATAAATTAAAAGCAAAATATCGAAATCTAAACCGTTTTTATCGAAACTTCTCACATGTTCGGCCACATTTTGACTTCTTCATTTACTTATAAATCCAATTTTCTTGCAAATAGAAGGATACGTAGGGACTTTGGTGCACCATTTACATAAAATCGGACGAAAATATATATGGGTCTATCTCGTTTCCTTTTGCCTGTAACAGACATATGCACAAAGACATAATACCCTGTACCACAGTGTGGTGAAGGGTATAAAAAGAATTTGGTTGAAGAACCCCAAAATACCGAAAATTGGGGGGTTCCCTTATATGGGGGCTACCCGAAAGAATTGGCCTATATTTGTAATTTATAGTGGAGAAATTTGCTACCTAATAAGAACTCGATGTACTAAATTACAGTCAATTCGGTCGAAAAATACGATCAGAACCCCCAAAATACCAAAAATTTGGGGGTACCGTTATATGGGGACTACCCGAAAAACTGTACCTATTTTTATAATTTTTGGTGGAGTAATTTGGTTCCAAATAAGAATCCAATTTACAAAATTTCAGAGAATTCAGTTATAAAACGGGCCCAAGAACCCGAAAATACCGAAAATTGGGGGTACCCTTATATGGGGGATATCCGAAAAAAATGACCTTTATTTATAATTTTTGGTAGGGATATTTGCTACCCAGTAAGAACTCAAAGTACCAAATTTCAGTGAATTCGGTCTAAAAATGCGGTCAAAACCCCCAAAATACAGAAAATTGGGGGTACCCTTATATGGAGGTTATCTGAAAAAATGGACCTTTATTTATAATTTTTGGTAGGGAGATTTGCTTCCCAATAAGAACTCAAAGCACCAAATTTCAGCGAATTCAGTTAAAAAACGCACTCAAGAACCTCAAAATACCGAAAATTTGGGGGTACCCTTATATGGGAGCTATGCCTAAACGTGGACCGATTTTCTCCAATTTCTCCAATTCTCCAATTAAGTGACCTGTGCCAAATTTCATTCAAATCGGATTATAAATGCGACCTGTATTTTGTTAACAAAAATACATGGACGGACGGACGGGCAGACGGACATGCATAAATCGAATCAGAAAGTGATACTATGCATATTCTCAAAAGGAACCATGGGTCTATCTCGATTATTTTTGCCTGTTACAAACATATGCACAAAGACTAATACCCTGTACCACAGTGTGATGAAGGGTATAAAAATTGCTCATTTGTAAATCCCTAAAAGCATTTTTCCTTAAAAAAAGATTTTGTAAATTCAAAACATATTTATAATAAACTAGGATATGCCCGCTACTTCGTTAGCGAACGTAGAAATTATTTAAAAACCAATACCGACCATAATTTCCAAAACTACCTCCATATCTCAACTGTACACACCAATTCTGAGCGCAACAGGAATCTAGCTCTATACTAAATTTGGTATAATTTATTACCCTTTGTACTCTTCTATTCTTATTTCGAAAAAAATTCCAAATTTCAAATATAGATTCACCCATCCCAATCTTAATTCCAAATCTTAGGATTCCAGCTTTATCGTTTCACTATAAATCCAAATCGTACCAGATTTAGTGCCATTTAGTACACATTTCCAAAACTTCCTACTTGCCCCAATCCAAAACCCCAACAGTGATCCTAACTCCAAATGTCTATGGGTTCACTCAAATCCAAATTTGGTACCATATAGTACACAAGATTCCATCTCTATCGGTTCACTCAAATCCAAATTTGGTACCATTTAGTACACATTAGTACGAATTTCCAAAACATTCTACATTCACTTCAAATTTCGGGATCAGTTCACCCAAACTTCAAATTGTACCAAATTTAGTACAATTTAGTACCCATACGTATAAATTTCCAAAACTATATCCATACCCCAATCCTACACTCCAACAATACCCTTATTTCCAAATTTCAAGATTGGTTCTACTAAAATTTAAATAGTACTTCAAAACCCAATCCAACACCACAACAATCGGTTCACTCAAATCCACATTTGGTCCCATTTAGTACCAATTTCCAAAACTTTATATATCGGTTCACCCAAAATTTAAATTGTACCAAATTTAGTTAACATTAGTAGGAATTTTCAAAACTTCCTAAATATCTCAATTCTACCCTCCAACAGTGATCCTAACTCTAAATGTCAAGATTCCAGGTCCATCGGTTCAGCCAAATCCAAAATTTGGTACCATATAGTACACATTAGTAGGAATTTTCAAAATTTCCTACATACCCCAACAATGATTCTAACTTTAAATATCAGGATCCTAGCTGTATTGGTTCATCCAAATCCA